ATGTACTGGTAAAAGAACAGGCACATAGATCAACAGAAGATGTCAAAAGTCCAGAAATAAAGCGTTACATGTATAGTCAATTCTTTTTCAGCAACAGTGCCAACATACTTCAATAGGGAAAGGATAGTCTTTTCAACAAACAGTGCTGAGACTATTTGATATTCAAGTGCCAAAAGATTAATTTAGACTGTTACTTCATACTATACACAAAAATTAACTGAAAATGGATCACAGACTTCCAGAAAGGAATGTAGGAGAAAATTCTCTTGACTTTGGGTTAATCAAAGAGGTCTTAGATATGACAACAAAAGCATGATTTAGAAAAGAAAAAAAATGGTAAATTATACTTCATCAAAACTAAAAACTTTTGCACATCAAATGACACCATTAAGAAAATGAAAAGACAAGCCATACACTCGGAGAAAATATTTGCAAATCACGTCTCTAATAAAGAACATGTATCCAGATTACATTTGGAACTCTGCCTGCCAATGCAGGGGACACGGGTTTGATCCCTGCTCCGGGAAGATCCCACATGCCACGGAGCAACTAAGCCTGGGTGCCACAACTACTGAAGCCTGCAGGCCCTAGAGCCCACGCATCACAACGAAGAGTAGCCCCCGCTGGCTGCAACTAGAGGAAGCCTGCACCTAGCAACGGAGACCCAACACAGCCAAAAGTAAATTAAAGAAAAAAAAAATCACACAATACCAAGTGTTGGTGAGGTTACGAAATTGAAATTAATACTACAGTGAGACATCATTATACACATAGTTATATTTTTTAAAGCACACGATACCAAGTGCTGGTGAGGTTGTAAAAGAACCAGAGCCTTCATACATTGCTGGGGAATGGTGAAGTCACTTCGGAAAACAGTTTGGCAGTTTCTTAAAAACATAAACTTACCGTAAGACTCAGCAATTCCACTGCTCAATATCTACCTGATATATGTTTTCTATATGAAATGAAATTAGAACATTTTCTCACACCATATACAGAAATAAACTCAAAATGGATCAAAGACTTAAATGTTAGACTGGAAACTATAAAACTCCTAGAAGAATACACAGGTGGAACATTCTTTGACATAAATCATAGCAATATTTTTTGGATCCATTTCCAAAGGCAAAGGAAACAAAAGCAAAAATAAACAAACGGGACCTAATTAAACTAAAAAGCTTTTGAATAGCAAAGCAAACCATCAACAAAACGAGAAGACAACCTACTGACTGGGAGAAAACACTTGCAAATGATATGACCAATAAGGGGTTAATATCCAAAATACATAAAGAGCTCATACAACTCAACATCAAAAAAACAGTCAACCCAATTAAAATCTGGGCAGAAGACCTGAATAGACATTTTTCCAAAGACATACAGATGGCCAACAGGCACATGAAAAGATGCTTAACATCATTAATCATGAGAGAAATGCAAATCAAAATCACAATGAGACATCACCTCACCCCGTCAGAATGGCTATCATCAAAAAGACCACAAATAATGTTAGCAAGGATGTGGATAAAAGGGAACCCTGTGCATTGCTGATGGGAATGTAAATTGGTGCTGCAACTGAAGAAAACAGTGTGGAGGTTTCTCGAAAAACTAAAAACAGAACTACCATATGACCCAGCAGTTCCAATACATCCAAAAACAACAAAAACATAATTCAAAAAGATACATGATTTATGTCATAGAGTGTTCTGCCTATGTTTTCCTCTAAGAGTTTGATAGTGTCTGGCCTTACATTTAGGTCTTTAATCCATTTTGAGTTTATTTTTGTGTATGGTGTTAGGGAGTGTTCTAATTTCATTCTTTTCCATGTAGCTGTCCAGTTTTCCCAGCACCACTTATTGAAGAGGCTCTCTTTTCTCCATTGTATACTCTTGCCTCCTTTATCAAAGATAAGGTGACCATATGTGTGTGGGTTTATCTCTGGGCTTTCTATCCTGTTCCATTGATCTATATTTCTGTTTTTGTGCCGGTACCATACTATCTTGATCTGTAGTGAGGTGGATGGACCTAGAGTCTGTCATACAGAGTGAAGTAAGTCAGAAAGAGAACAAATACCGTATGCTAACACACATATATATATGCAATCTAAAAAAAAAATGGTTCTGATGAACCTAGGGGCAGGACAGGAATAAAGACACAGACATAGAGAATGGACTTGAGGACATGGGGAGGGGGAAGGGGAAGCTGGGACGAAGTGAGAGAGTGGCATGGACATATATACACTACCAAATGTAATATAGATAGCTAGTGGGAAGCAGCTGCATGGCACAGGGAGATCAGCTCGGTGCTTTGTGACCATCTAGAGGGGTGGGATAGGGAGGGTGGGAGGGAGAGGCAAGAGGGAGGGGATATGGGGGTATAAGTATGCATATAGCTGATTCACTTTGTTATACAGCAGAAACTAATACAGCACTGTAAAGCAATTATACTCCAACAAAGATGTTTAAAAAAAAGATATATGCACCCCAATGTTCAGAGTAGCATTATTTACAATGGGCAAGATATAGAAGCAACCTAAGTGTCCATCAACAGATGAACAGATAAAGAAGATGTGATGTGTATATATACAATAGAATACTACTCAGCCATAAAAAAGGATGAAATTTTGCCATTTGCAACAACATGGATGGACTCGGAGGGTGTTATGTTTAGTGAAATAACTCAGAAAGAGAAAGACAAATACAGTATGATATCACTCATATGTGAAATTTAAAAAATAAAACAAACTGATGGATATAACAAAAAAGAAACAGACTCGGATAGAGAGAAACAGTGATTATGATTGGGGAGAGGAAAAGGGGGAGGAACAAAATAGGAGTAAGGGATTCAGAGGTACAAACTACTATCTATAAAATAAATAAGCTACCAGGATATACTGTACAACACAGGGAATGTAGCCAATATTTTATAATGATTATAAATGGAGTAAAGCCTTTAAAAATTGTGAATCACTATGTTGTACACCTGAAACTTACATAATGTTGTAAATCAACTATACCTGAATTTAAATATATATATATATGTGGAAAAAGAAACTTTGTTGTATGAGACAAATAAACCCTTTTCTTGTTTAAGATAATATGGTGAGTTTTGCTGTTGTTATTGTTTACCTGCAGCTAAATAACCTTCAAAGACCATATTTACTGATCTCTACGTAAAGAAACTAAGCATCACTGTTGTGATATTACCAAATCAGTATTTCTCTCCTGGCAAGCACACTGCTTAAGATATTTCCAAATATTTTCCAAGACTAGCTTGACTTCTCTTAAACTGCCCGATTTTTTCTTCCTTTCCTTTTGTTTCTCATTCCACAAAGCCTAAAAATAAGTGTCTTCCAGCAACAGTTACAATTAGGAATTCCCAGACCCAAAAGAAATAGAATGAGCAGCTAGCTTTCATTTAAATTGTTCAGTCTATGATCTGACCTCTGTATCCCTTTTTTAGCCCTTGGCATGTGTTAATTTCCAAGACTGCCTTTCACAATTTCTATAGAGCAATATTCTTCTTGCTTACTAATGCTGCCATGGGATTTTCCTGGTGGCACAGTGGTTAAAAACCCACCTCCCAATGCAGGGACACAGGTTTGAGCCCTGGTCCAGGAAGATCCCACATGCCACAGAGCAACTAAGCCTATGCACCACAACTACTGAGCCTGCGCACTAGAGCCCGGGAGCCGCAACTACTGAGCCCACGTGCTACAACTACTGAGCCCGTGTGCTACAACTACTGAAGCCCGCAAGCCTAGAGCCCATGCTCCGCAGCAAGAGAAGCCACCACGATGAGAAGCCCGCTCGCCACAACTAGAGAAAGCCCACGTGCAGCAACGAAGACCCAACGCAGCCAAAAAAATTAATTAAAAAAATAATAATAAATAACGCTGCCTTTTTCTAAAAGCATAGATTCGCTGCCACATAGAAACAGTTGTATTTAGTAAAGAGCTAAATACTGTATCAATGTGACTTGGCCTTTTATCCTAAATATCTGCATTAGGTCATGAGCAGAAGCCAAATTTATCATCTCAACCGCGTTTGCAGAGTAATGAAAAATTAAGAATTAAGTCAATCAGCAAGAACCTTATTGTTACTACAAACTTTTCTACTACTCTATGTCTAAGTCGTAAGTTTATAATATCTTTCAAAAGATCAACTTCCTTCAGTAAACTAAAATAGGTCATAAAAAAATAAATTCCTTTTGTAGATCCTTTGGTATATCCTTTTGTAAGATCCTCATATACCTTGCTGCCTATATGGTCTAAGAAATGACATATATACAATTGAGTAGATTTTTAGTTAAAGAAGGGAAAAAATAATTATGGCACAATCATCTAGCTTTTTTCTAGACAGCTAAATGAAATAGGAAAAGACATTAATACTATAAATAAAGACATTGATATTAACCGACAACTAGCACAGGTTCAGTACAAAATAAGCTAGAAAATTATTATTTAAAATGATAATGAACGCAGAATGAAGGCATTACATGTCAAGAAACTTAAAACACTACTATCCAAACATCTGTGGTAATACAACTTGTACTAGTCTACCTCTTTAAGTTGTACGGTGACTATTTTTGTTCTATCTTTACATAGCTTAGTCTAATTAGAACAAATTTAATATAGACTAACAGAAAAGAAGCCTACTACTGAAAGACACCTCAAAAAGTGAAGAAAACTACTGGAGTTTCATCATATTTAAACATTTTAATGTATTTCAATTATGATGGAGTAAATTAGATAATCTCTAAACCCTCAGCATCAATTTTTTTTAAATCTGTGAATCGAAAATTATATACAGTTCTACATGAGAAACAGAAGACATGCCATAGACATTGTTATTTAGCTATTAACTTCTACTTACTTTAGTGAATTATGAAATTCAAAAGTAAATGACATTTTGTTTTAAAAACAACTTGAATCTTGCTTTACTACAAATTAGAAAACAAAGACATTTAATAAAATACAAAATATTCCAGAAAGAACACCAAACCTTGAAAAAATCTTCAAGCTGTTTACTGTTATAAAGAGCAGGAATATTGGCAGAGAACTGTAGCAGATCTTCAGCACACTGTCTCCTCTCTTCAATAACAGTTTCATCAAATCGTCCTAGAATTAAATAAGAATCAACACTTAAGGAAAGAAAGATCAAACACTGATTTATGTTAGTTTATGTTCACAATTTAGAAAGCAGCAGCAGGCCTATCACTGCCTATTTGCTCTGCTTATCAGGCAAACTTCTGAAGTCAAATCTAGTCTCTACAATTGGAATCAGTAGTGCTCCCACCAAAAAAGAAAATAATGTTTCTGATAAAAGAATAGGCAGAGGTGTCAACTAGTAAATAAATAATGCAGTGATAATCTAAAGCCTGTCAATATAAAAAACTTACCATTTAAGAGGCTGCTAATTTGAAACTAAAGTTGAAAGCAGAATTAATAAAGAACTCAAATGCTTTTCTATAGTAATTTAATACTGTAATTACTCATATAATTTTCCCTTTCCCACTCTTTTTTGATTTATAAACGGAGCTGAAGAGAGAAAATTACGAGAACATCTGTATGTCAGTGGGGTCAAAAACCTCAGCTTGAAGCAAAAAGCTTTCAAGCCAAATTCCATGTGTGATGCTGTCAGTGTGCATGAAAGCGCACTTGTGAGAAAAAAGAGAACACACACAGCACAGTGAGCTCTGGTTTGCAAGGTGATCGAAAGGTGGTTTTCAAAGAATTTTTTTTAATGATATATACAGTTTGAATGCTGATAAGACATTCTCAAATATGACCATTTTGTACTACTCTCAGATAAGATTACCGGTTGGCATTTGTCACATGCCATGTATCATACTGATTGCAATTTAGGTTCAAAAAAATACAAAATCAAAAGAGCAACACATCCCATACTTAAGTGGCTTCGCAAAATGTTAATAGAAAACTGAGGTATAAAGAGATTCCTAGTTATAGGCACCACAACTTATTGGAAGTAAGTCAACTTCTTTGCAGTTATCACTACAAAGAAGCAAATGAAAGAAAGGGAGGAAAAAAAGAAACAGATGGACTAAAACAGAGCCCTCACTTGCTTTAGTCAAAGCATTAAACTACATCTGAGAGTACAAAGAGAAAAGAGGTTACTTTTGCAGTGCCACACTTCCTGCAGTAGCTCAACAAGTATTTAATATAACTATAAAGTAAGGAAATTTATTTTTTTACTAACTTTTTAAAATATCACCTCTATTTTCCACCCACTCAGAAACACAATTAATGATTAAATTTTGGTGTGCTAACTAAATTTGTGCCAACTCTCTACTCTCCCTTGTTTATGGGGAAATCTGTTTCAAAATGCTCAACTCTATTGTAAAAACACATATTTACAAAAAAGATGTTCTAAACTAGGAAATGTCACATCTGATCCAACATACTTTAACTTAAAACCAGCCCTTATGTGTAAGATTATACTATATCCCAGCTAAAAAACTGGACATAATAAGTAGACTTTGTGGAAAATAACAGATTGAGGTTCAATCATTTTGATTTTAATCATGATATCACCTTAAAATGGTTAACAATGTTTTATAGAAAGTGAACAGGTTTTTTCTATGGAATGTAAATAAGCAAGGTAGCATGATCACATTAAAAATGCTTGTCAAACTAAAGATAAAAAAGAGAGAGAGAGAGAGAGAGATTCCTAGTTATACTACCCACGGCAAGAATTTGAAACTGAACCACTAAATACCTCAGCTCAATGTGTCTCATGCTTATGGTGAAATGTCTACTTCATGATAACTAAAAGAAATGGTTTTAGAGTTAGACCTGGGTTCAAACTACTTGCTCTATCATTCACTAGCTATAAAATCTTAGGCAGATTATTTCCTAATTTACAAAATGGAGAAAATGTACTTAAATGTACATTAAAATGTACTTAAAATGAGCAGTTCCATACCAGGCACATAGTAAGCACTTAATAAACCAATCATGGTGTCTTTAAATCTTCAAATACCATCATAGTGTCTGGCATACAGAACATGCTAATATATTTTTGTTGACTGTATGAGTGAATAATAAAAGCAGAGAAATACTTTCTAACACAAAGAACTATCTTACAGTGGAACATTCTATCCTAGAAGATAGTCATCTTTCACTGATAAGAAATTTTAGGGACTTCCCTGGTGGTCCAGTGGTAAAGAATCCGCCTTCCAATCAATCCCAGGTCGGGGAACTAAGATCCCACGTGCTGCAGGGAAACTAAGCCGTGCACCACAACTATTGAGCATGCATGCCACAACTAGAGAGCACACGTGCCACAAACTACAGAGCACATGCGCTCTGGAACACGCATGCCACAACTACAGAGCCCACGCACCCTGGAGCCTGCGCGCCACAACCAGAGAAGAGAAAACCTGCACACCACAACTAGAGAGCAGCCTGCGTGCCGCAACGAAGATCCCACATGCTGCCAGACCCGACACAGCCAAAAAAAGAAAGAAAGAAAAGGAAATTTTAACAGTGGGTCCATAAACAACCCCCTATGCTTAATGGATGGGTTACAACAATCCTACCAAACTCCACACGTATGTCCACAGATACATTTTTCTAGGGAAAAGATCTGTAACTTGTATCAGCATCCTCAAAGAGCCCAGGCCCAGTAAAGGTTAGCAGGCAAGTGGCAATCAATTAGAGGATTCCTAACATTCAGTATGCTACTTCATTTACTTTGGGATAGCCAGCTGCTATCCCCATATCTGTTCTCGCCTTCTTTCTAAGTAAAATAATCCCCAATTTCTAACTAGGTACATGGCGGCCCAGGGAAAAAAAAAAAAACTATAATTTCCATCTTGCCTTGCAGTTACATGTGGACACAGACTAAATTCTGGCCAATAACATATAAACAATAGTTATTTTGCAGATTACCAGAAATCTCTTTAAGAGACAACTGATATACACCCTCACCTCCCCACCTCCCGCTTTTTCTTCTATCTCCTTTTCCCTTTCCAAGAAGGACTATGATGTGGGAGGTTAAAAATGATATAGCAACAAGGCAGGAGCTTGGATTCCTGATTATTTTGGAGCTGCCCTGCCTCCTATGCTGCCCTGCATAGCCTACCTCCAGAGCTTATGCCATGAGAAAAAAATTGACGTCTATCTGGTTTTAAGTTTTGTCACAAGTAACCAAATCTAATATAATCCATTATGTTAAATCTACTTTCCTATTAGTTCCCAGTTCATACGCAACAAGTACATTAAATTAAATTCTTCCAATGACAAAAAACACATCTTAAATGACGCTGCTAGCATACCTATCAATAATATTATCTGGAAACAAACTTCTAAGAGCCCTAACATGTAGAGCAAATTCTGTGGCCTGAAAACAATCTAAGATATTCAATCTTGGGGAAAAAACCGCAGGCCAAACAGGTTAAAATGACAGCTAAATGTCCATTATTCCTTGTTTTGCCTAAATAATAAATTAAGTATGCATCGGTGCTTATGATTATTGTCCAACATTTTTATCCTTTAAACAAAAAAGTAAACTGCAGTACCTGTAAATTAGTATTTATGTGAGCATCTGCAATCTCAGAACAGAAATCCAGAAAATGCACATATTATATTATGCTTCAACCCACAAGACCACCTGATATTATCTTTAAATGAACCAACAACTTGTTGAAAAATTTTAATGAAAAACTTCCTAATATTTGATGACATCCTAAAAAAGTCTCATTTGCTGGCTGAAACAAATACATAAAAATTTAGCTGCTTTAATCCTAGTGTGATCAATGACTCATCCCACCTCCCTATTAAACTAGATTTAAATGCTTAAGTCTTTGTTATATTTCTATTGATCTATGCATTTCTATTCCACTAAACTTGGACAAGCAGAGATGAAATAGAACATTTTTCAGAATGGAGTAAAAGCAAAATTAAAGGCTAATGCATTAAAAGGTTCAATTACACTGAATCCTATCATCAGAACTAATATGATGAAAGAACATGCTCACTTCTTTGTTCCTAAGATATTTCAAAATAACAACAACAAAAAACAGTATTGGCAGCACGAAGATAAGCAGATGAATTTTAATGCAGTAACTACTGGCCCTAATATATGTTACAAAGCCACCTAATTTGAAAATTAGATTAAGAGTTAGCAAGATTCTAATGGAGACAACACACTAATGGCTATTCTCAAATTGTTAATCTTTTAATATCATCAACCTCCCTTAAAAGGCAACAACAAAGAGAAATTAATAAACAGGTGCTTCTCTTAACAGTGCTTTAAATTTCCATTCACAGGAATGGAAATTTTTTTATTTTCCTGTGAACAGAGTAGAAAATTTATACGTAATTGTGATAGAAAATGTAAAACAAATTTTTCCTGAGGTTTATTATACAATATTACATACTATATTATTTGTGTGTGAGTATGTACATATTATCTTTAAGCCACTCCACCACTTCCAAATTACTGAACAGTGGTCTGCTATTAAAAGCTGCAAAAGGAAAATTAAACCAAAACCTTCTAACAAAGCTGGTAAAGCATCGGAAATAAAGTCTCTCTCTTTGATTTATAAGCTGCCTTTGAGATTTTCTCTATGTTTTTTTAATTAAGTAGAACACCTCCTGAAAGCAGCGTTCACAACTTTTTTTAAATGCAAATGCCGGTGACCAAAAACTGATTATAAAAAACTAAAAGTTATCCTTGACCAGTAAGAAACTAGCCAGAAAAGCTTGGTGCTAATTCTTAACTGTATTAAAAATTCATTCACAGAGTAAAAAGAAAAAGAGGGAGGCCAACGTTCTCAGGTGTGAATTCCCTCTAGTCAACAGCACCAAGGACATACTTCTAGTTAAACAAGCTGGATTTAAGACTCCGATAAAGTATACTATGGGGAACCCTGAGGCATTTCACTAAGAGGGTGTTAGAAAGGACTTACAGGATTTGAGCCTGTGTTAGGTGCTTTGGGGAAAGATTCAAAGAAGTGGGGCTTTGTTTGCCCTGGCTTGGATGCTGTCAGGAAGTAGGAGTAATTCTATGATTCTGTTAATTCTATCTAATTCTATGATTCTATGATTTTAATAAATCTTACTATGAGGCAAGAAGAATGAACAGAGGCTAAGGC